CCCCCCCCCCCCCCCCCCTAATAGGAGGTCTTCTCATCGCATGCCTAACCTTACAAAGGGGGTATGAAAAAAATCACACTGATAGTTCGGCCGTCGTTGCCGACGATGTCCACCGTATGCTCCACAGCAAGGTGAGGCAGGGACGATTACTTACGTGTGGATTAGTTTATAGTGATAACGGGCTTGCATAGCATCTACCGCACTCTATTTCCCCCACCTGGGCCCGGTGTCAAGACAGGAGGCGCGAGGGCAGGTAGATGGCAGGGTCGAGCCCGCACCTTCGCGCTCCACTCCACACTCCCCGGTCTACAATAAACACCAGAATTTTAACCAACAACAACAACAATGGGGTAGTGGCAGGGGTCCGAGTGTGCGCGACGTACGCCGGAAACAGGGTCTGAAATCTTGGCATTTGTTATGGTGCGCATTCCGATAACGCCTGCCAGAATTCGGCATGGCTTCCGTCTTGGTCCAGCGCATCTGCCACGTGACCCATTTGGGGCGCACATGATCACACTACGGGACAACACACCACCACAGGTATACCCAAAGACCGACAACACAATGCTGCGAAGAAACGTAGGCTAGAACTAAACATTTCTCCGAGTCCCACTTAATATAGGTCGGTGGGATAGTAGCGTTGGCCTATTTCTGAATAAGCAATAATGCCCGAAGGTCAAGCCGCAGCCTTCATTTTCTACCTCGGTGAAATGAACGCTTCTCGATGAGCTGCGGAAATTCCCATGACAGTATTCAGGAGACCAGTTAACGGTGAAAAAAATTTCTATTATTCCAACGTTAGAAGATAGTAAACATGTGGTAAGTAACGCTAATGCCCGCAGTTGTGCGCGAGTACCCTGACCAGACCTCCCAAAACGAGACCTCTTGTCCCGGTCTTAGCAAATACGCGCCTCCACGTCACTGAAAACCGGCGTCTGTATACAAAAAGGCGCGCTTTAATAGCTATCGTCCAGCTATGTTGCTTCATGTCAACACGACTCGCGGGCCATTTTTGTGTCACGATATTTACCTTGTCTACCGTTGGTGTCTGGAACTTCGACTCTGCTGAGAAGTCTGTATCGGCTGGCCGATATCCAACTACGGATGAATCAGATGGAGACCCTGTGCCATAAGTACATCAGTACGACTAGGTATTCCTTTTAAATCACATTCAGGGATCTCAGTGAACGTCTCAGTTCTTGTCTTGTACCATAAAAATGAGGAGGTGACTCACCGTCAATATCTTCTTCCACCTCATGAGGTTTCTCCTCGATGCCATCAAGGTTGACAAGGGGGTCGGAGTCGGCGTTATCCGAGTCGCCGACCAGATCGACCAGCATGGGGTTTTTCACCACGCTGCGGCTCGATACAACGTTCCTCTTCGATGACGTTCCAGTCCGTCCTTTGCTCTCCTCCTCATCTGACGTTGACGACGAAGATTCTGATATCGAGTCAACAGCTTCCTCCGCGTCCTCTTTGGTAGATAAGGTAAAAAGAAACAGTAACGTCCAGAGTGTGTTTTTATACTAAACAGACAATTGAAATGCGCGCATTGCAGCGCACATTCGGTCTTCTTACCGCTGTATTTGGAGAGAAGTGACGGCGCGGTACGGTTCTTGCCCGCCTTCTGGTTTGCCTTTAATGCGGGCAAGAAGTCCTATAGTCCCAAAACAAGACAGATGCGAGTAGAGGGAAAAAACTGGCTAATCACAAGGCATGGGGAAAACAATAGGGTCTTGGCGACTACCTACCGTGAAGTACTGCTCAGTGGCTCCGGCAACCAACGTCATGAATTCATCAAAGCCCTCTCCAGTGACTGAGGAGACACCACAGCAACGAAGGTCTTTGTAGAACTCGTCGAGAACAAGGGACAGAGAGTTCGTCAGACTGGTCATGTACTGAGAGCAGTCGTGTTGCGCCCCCGGCCCGTCCGCCGAATCGAACTGATCCGCTCCGGGCTCCGCGCCAGCCGAACGATATGCCGATAAGGCTGACTGGAAGGCCTCAAAGTCTCGCATCCAGCTGATCGCGAACTGGCAATCGATTATGTCAGTCTGGTAGAAATGGGGGCGGAAAGAGGAGTTACACGGTAGTCTTCTGGCCCTCCGACCACCTGCTTCAAGATTACTAAAACAAAAACTTACTGCCTTCGGCCTTCAAAGTTCACTTTAAATAGACCTCATGGTTGTTTCTCGGGAAACCTGTTCCGCTTAAAACTGCCAACAAATGTACTATGATACTGCTGTATTAGATCGAACGGAGAGACACTGATTCGGTCGGGTATCGTCTAGCCTTTAGTTACTATCATGGGTGGCTATTGCACCAAGTCTCGTCACCAGACTCGAATAAGTGTGAAAGGGTCGGGCCGATGCTGGGGGTGCAATTTTCCGCGGCAATTCTGTGCATTTCTAACTAACAATCTGGTGCATTCAAAGCCATCACGACGCACTAAAACGTGCGGCTTGTGAGGCCGACAGCTGACTGGAAAAATGACCTCTCCTCCAGAGTGTTATGCTTTGATGTGGCCCTTCTGACACTTAACCCCCCCCCCCCCCCCCCC